AGCATCCCTGCATGTTGGACATCTTCTTTGGGGACTACTTGGTAGAATGAAAGTCCTGGGGTTTTATCATTCATTACTGCAATAGAGCCATATGTGAGCTGAAGAGAAATGCAAGGAAAGACAATATTAGGAGCATTGCCAAGAATTCTCAGTAATTGTCATTTGCTATGTCTGCTATGCCTCTCCCAAAATTATTGGAGTTGCCGTTTCATGATATTGTCTCTCCACTTTGTCGCCACCATTGCCTTAGATATTTCTGAGATCAGGTGAGCATGAGGAGAGAGGGTCAAACAGGTGACAGACTGGGCCCAAGCCTAACCCTACTCTCAGCCTAGGAGAGTGATTTTTGGCAAATTGCATCTGGCATCTCCTGGGTTATGAAGATGGGAATCATCAACTGAAGACTGCTCTTACACTTTGCCTATTTTCTAAGAAAATCTGAAGTTTCAGCTGTAGCGACTTCTTTTGCAGGTAGCATGGATTGACCACAGAGTCAGAAGCAAGTGGTCAAAACTCAGAAGGTTCAAGGAAATGCTTCAGATGCTCTGGGGGTTGATCCTGGTGCCTCCTTGAGGTCCCTGCCACCACAGGCCCCAGTTTCTGGTTTTTGGCTATGACAAAATCTCCAATGAACCTTGCCTGTAGAGTCATCTGAGTGGTTAGAGTGTGCAATTTGGGTTTGCAACCTGCTACTTCCTATATTCTGGAATTTTAAGTGTAGGTTTAATGCTGAATGCACTTTAAAGAGAGATTTTCTGTGTCTGGATGCCATCACATGTTTAAAACCCCACCTTTTTATTACTAAAAAGAGATCTGGGACCTAGAAAGTAAGAGTTAAGTGTACTAGAGCTTCACAAGGCTCACCTTCCCTGGCAACTTTTGCCCCTCTTATTAGCTGCTATACCACACACACAGAGAGAAAGAGACACACAGAGAGAGAAGGAGGGAGAGAAAGTCCTACCTGTGGAATCTTATAGATATCCAAGATATTTGCTATATTTATGGAAATATGGGAATCCAGTCCCCCAATCACAGATATCAGGTTGTACTTGATGTCACATGCATAGTTGGGGATCAGTCTCTCTGTTGCTGATGTAAGTAGCATTGTGGCATGATAGGTCATCACTGCATTGTCGTAGCTGTCATAGATGTGGAAGCCCAAGGTGAGATTGGGCAAGAGCTGAGGGTTTGCATTGATTTCCTTCACTGCAAAGGCCAAAGCCACGGTGCGCTGATAAGCCTTAGACACAACACTGGAAGAGAGGTGGGTTTTGTAGCACACACACATTTTGCAGTCATTTTAATTTTTGACACTGTTGGTTGAGTCACCATTACCATCCTCATTGTTTTTTCAACATTTATTTACCATCTACCTCACGTCAATCTAGAGACCTTTGGCCTGCCTGATATTCACGGTTGCTGGTTTAAATTTATGCTGCTGCTTTTATTCTGTTCTCACATAGATGCTTATGCCTTCTTTGGATACTGCATTGCTATAGCCATTCTTGGAACCCTAATGAGTGTTCAGTTTGGCAGTGCACAAAGAATGTAAGGAAGTGAATTAAATTAATGGATACTTTGAAGTAGCCCATGCACAAATAGCAAAGGCAAACTGCATCAGTGCTCAAATCTTCAGAACAAAGATATCACAAGATGCTTCTGAATTTCCACCATCCTTTGGAGAACACCATATTATCCCCGAAAGTGCTAAAAACGTTTGCTCATTTTTACTTTATTTACAAATACGATTAAGAAATTGCTACCTTATGTATCTACCATGAAAAGGCATTGAACAGAGAAATGAGATACTCTGCATTCTGGGGAGAAAGGGAGGCAGGAGGTGACAAAGAAGACCGCTGGAGAAGTTGGCTTAGCAATGGATTTGTAGAGGAAAGGATAGAAAGTATGAGGAAAAATACAACAGAAGCCTAAAATGAACGCATGCCAGTTTATTTTGCGGGTGAATATAAAATGGCTTAATTACTCAGCATTCTCCAATCATGTTGAATTTTTTAAAATGCCATAAAGCATCGCTAAGGGCTTCAATTTAAGTCCCAATCATTCTATGGAGGGAAAATTCACCTGAAAATTCAAACAATGGCAAATCCTTACTAAAAATCCTCAAGTGATGCTGGAAGGGGTTCTTTGGTGAAGTCTGTTGCACTGGGAAGAAAGCCACCATGAGTAGCAATATTACCAATAATGAGATCACCTGGCTGATAATACTCATGAAGAGGATGGTGTGGATGAAAAAGCCTGCATCTTCCATGCTCAAGAAGTGCCTTCCAAACCAGCTGAGGAAACAGCACTAGGAATAAAACCGTTGAAGACAGGAGCATCGTTACACACACAAGCATTCACTCCATTAGAGTAACCATGACTGACATGGCCTCATTTTGAGAAGACAGCCTTTTGTAACTCTGAACCCTAAAGGAGCCAAGAGTCTTACTCATTACGAATAGCACTCCCTTTCTCTAAATGGAACTGGGCCTATATATAAACATCTTCCACATTTGTTACTAGTGGTGTTGCCAGCATCCAGTCAAATCCATAGGGGTTTGAAGAATTAATTGCAGTCATTTTGATTTAAAAGAGAAAAAAAAAAAAAAAGAACAGGGAGGTAATCAACTTAATCCCTGCTTGTTTGTCTTCATTAAAAATCAAAACAAGTTGAGGATCCCCCCCCCCCAGCCGCCTTGTTCTGTACAGTGCTCTTAACCATTTCCCACTGTTGGTTTCATACCTTACTGCAGTGGCTGCCAATATTGAGTGTGTTCACGCAGAATAACCCCTAACTGATAATACTTGTCAACATTACAGGAACACATTAGGATTTTTCACTGTAGGTTGAAGGTTGTGTCCCCCCACTCCAACAACCCATGATTAGGACCTATGGATGGTTTTAGATTTACCTTTTCCCAGAGAGGTGTGTAGGGTTACCTGTTTCTAGAAAACCAATCCCACCATAGGTAATGATCAAGGGCCAGCAACTCGCTTGGAAAGAAAGGATTTTGAACTAGACACACCTTCAACCCTGCCCCTATTCCAATCCCTGAGATTTCCCATTTTAAATACCCAATTCTTCTTCTACAGCACCATTGTCATCATCATGGTTGTCATTAGCCTCACGATCATCATCATGATCACCATCATGGCAATGGCTATGGCAATGGACTGGATGAAGATCCCAAAAAGGAAGCTCAATCCAGACAAGTCTCAGATTCTGGGAGTGCCTGATTCTTCTGTTCAACTAGAAGCTCCTAAACCTGTTTTGGATAGGGTTCCCTTCCCCGGGAGGAGCAGGTACATTGTGTAGGGATTCTCTTTGATTCCTCTCTGTCTCTTGAGGCTCAGGTGGCCTAATTTCATGGAATAACCTAGTGTCCTATAAAGGTTGTTGGATTGAAAACATGTTGCACAAGAACATGAAATCAAACTGAACAAGCACAATGTGATCTGGTCTGATATCTAGAATTGTTTAACGTTTGAAGGTGGTCACACTGCATTCCTGCAAGACACCTCCACTTTTTTTTTTTCTTTGAAAGGCAGACCGAACAATTTGCAGAGCTAAACGTTGGAAGAAGAATAGAGCAAGTATCTCAGAACTGGGCAGAGAAGAAGCCTTGGTAACATCTGTCAAAATTATCCAAGGGTCTCAATAAAAAGATGCTACCCAACTTAAATGATGAACAAACTTTCTTGACCCATCATGATGGTCACATATTCATGTATGTGAACTACCCTCCAGCCCCAAAGCTGCTTAAGAGAGAAATCAGATCTGAAACAGGAAATGGGGGCTCAGTACGGATAGGTGGGACTGGAGTTTAAATGAAAGCAGAGAGCATGCCTGGTCTGTGTACAATCCTGGTTCTGAATCAGCTGCTTAAATTAAAAATGCATCTCATACAGTAGGACTGAGAAAAATCTCTTCCACTGTACTGTGATAATTACTTGCTCTGTGTATGGAAAAGACTGAAAATACAGTTACTGGAAAGAGCTTTTTAAAGGTTTACTCACATCTGAGATGGAGTTCTCCCAAGCTGCCCAGCCTCCATACAGAAACAATCTTATGTTCAACATGATCCCTGTATTAATTCAGTCACAGACTTGCACACTACCATCGCTACCTGTGTGTATGGCAACTCACATTTTAGATGAGGTTGATTCCTTGGGCTGTTTTTCTGGTGTTTATCATATGTTGGACAACCCCAGATTTTTAATAGGGCATCTTGTACACCAGTACATATGGAATGCCCTCAAGAAGAGGCTTCAACTAAAACACTGTTGCCAATAAATTGGGCAGTAGATGTTTAAGAGATGTGATGAGAAGTTATGCATTAATTTATTTATCTATATTATCTGATTATAAATTTATTGTATTCTATGCATGTTTTTTTCTGTTTAGCCTTTGTGATAAGCTCAGAGATCATTTGAGTTCTGGGGCAACATAGAAATAGAATGACAGGAATGAGCAAGTGAATGAATGTTACTATTTTAATGCAAGTACCTCTGGAAACTGGAGTATGAGGAGAAGCGGGTTGGCAAGCACTCATCGGCCTTGGGATTAGGAATGTGACTGTTCAAAAGGGTTGCAAAGCAGTGTAATGTAGGAGGAGCTGCCCCAGAGAAGGGGAACACTCCCTTTCCCAGCCACTGCCATGGCCAGTCCCAAACAGCACTTTGTCCCCCAGTACTGGCAGGTGTGCAGGCAGGACAGGGGCTGCACTTGGGACTAGGCCTGCTGTTGGGCAACAGAACATGGAAGAAAAAGAACAGTAAGCGATTTTTTTTTTTTCACCTGGGATAGCGGATCCCCCATCCCCAACCAAACACACAAGCACTTTTGCTTTCTGCAGTGTCTTTTTCAAGAGTCATCTTTTACGTTGGTATATACAGTGCATCAATCTGCTGTTGGTATGACGATGCAGCTCCAACACCATTCAGTTCACTGATCAGTCGCTTGGATAGAATAAAGAGAAGAAAATTAACAAGATGGAGAGCTGGCATTCTTGAAAGTATGACCTTAACAGATGCAATCTAGGGCATAAATGGCATGATTCATGAATAGAGGGAGGAAGGACGTTGGAAAGGAAATAACATGATTTCAAAAATCTCAGCACTCTGAATTCCAAATAGGGATCCAAAATCGGAAGAACCAATCCTGCGGTTTAATGAAATGATTGGTTTATTCACTTCTCCCCAACAACAGTTCCAAGCCGGCATGTAAGAAATAGTCTCACCACTCTTGAAATACTATAGATGGAGAGCACATGCTGTCCCTCCCTTTGAGTGTTGCCACATGAGTGAATTCTTCAGTGGTTGTGATTCCACACAATAGTTTGTGGGAGCTTTACATGGCATCCACCACCTCCTCAAGGTCTTCTCTTATTCTGTGATTATTATTATTGGGATTGTGATTATTATGATTATTACTATTAATTAACATTGGAAGTCTGGGATTTTTTAACAATGGTAGGATGAACCCAAAGCATACCTGCAAAAATCCACCATATCACAGCACCACCTAGAGGTAGCATAATGAAACACATAGAAAGAGGGAGAGGAAAAATGGACCTCTGGGTGGTGGGAAAGAAAAGGCCTTCTTGGAAGAAAATGCATACTTTGTAACAGATGGCAAAGGCTTTGTTTCAAGGGAATGTTCTTACAATCTGAGCAGGCTTCTTAAACAGCGATTGAGTCTGCTAAGCTTGGCCCATTGCTTGGCTAAGAATGGCCCAGGAGAGTCTGACCACCATGCATGAAGAGCAGCAAATG